GTGGTACCCTTTGGGAGAGCTCTGGTTCTTCTGAGCATCACTTCCTGGCTCCAGTGCAGATCCCTCAGCCTGCTAGCATAGGTCCTTCTTCCTGCTGGCACAGACTTTGTAAATTCCACTACTGACCTTTGGGCCTTCCCAGCAGATCCGTGAAACAGGCCTGCATGAGATGTTGTCATGGGCTCTGGGCCTCCAGTTGGATTCATGGAAGGCACTGTTATGAACTCTGGGTATTCAGTTCAACTCATGTAGGACATTGTTGTGGGATCCAGGCCGTCAGCTGGATTCCTTGGTCTTAGTGTGTAGACAGATTCCCTGCACTCTTTTGTATACTGTTCCTTGGGTGACTATTATACATAATCATATGAAGTATGTGTCCTGTATTATATTGTTCCCCTTGCAAAATAAGCCCCAAACCAACACAGGTGGGAATGATGGTACACAGAGAGATGCTGAGGACTGGGGAAGTAGCTTAGTGTAAAGACCCTGGGCTCAATCTCCAGTACTGAAAAAAAAAAAAAAAAGCCAGAATGTGATGCTGGGAATAGACAGATAAGTTTTGCCTGGGTACTGAACATATACAAGTTACAAAAACAATGGGTGTGGGCAAATTCAAAAGTGTCACATCTTTTGTAGGTATGGGTCATCTAGATCTGTAAACTAAGACTGATGTAAGTAATGACAAGCTCATGTTACCAATGAATGAAATGGAAAGGACTAGATGTTTCCTGGCTAGGAAGTTGAGTCTAGGAGAGGATCTGGACAGAGAAGAAACACAAATGATCAGTATCCTTGGATCACTCAGGTCATGACAGATGAGAAACATCTGGGTCCAGTGATATAAAATAAAAGTCCAGTAGAGTTCCACCAACACTCACAGATCATTAGCTGACATTTAACTGACCACAAGACACTTGAAGGAATAATCTATCCTCTTTGTTGACAGAGGGCAGTAGTTTCTTGTTTTTCTCTAGAAAACCACCCAGCAGATAGGATGACTGTATTTTGCTTAATCCATCAAACTATGTTGAGTAGACAATCATTTTCAAAACCCTGACAATTCAATAAGCCCCTGAAACTGGCAAGGGGCTTGAACACTTGAGGAAGGTGGAAGGTTCAATAGGCTGGAGCACCAGGTCTATCTTTAGTACACTTCGATCAATGGATGGGAAGTCTAGACACTAACAGTACAACAATGGGTGAAGCATCTATTTTACTTTAAGTGTTCATTACAGCAATGAATGAATAAAGCAGCAGAGACTATCCCTAGAAATTTAAAGAACTCAGATTTCATTCACGTTCATGTAATTTTATTCAGCAAACATTTATTGTCTGGATATACCACTTTGTTGGTGGGAGATGTAAAGATGAGTAATTTCTCTCTGCCTGCTCCAGGAGGAATACAGGTAGACTCAGATCACTGCTGTAATAGAGGTTCTGAGGAAGACCTATGGAAGTATCTAAAGGGTGGCAGGAGAGGAATTTGATGAAGGCATCTTGAAGTAATTCTTTTCTTTCCATTTAAGGCATCACTACATGATTGCTGAGATTAAGGCCAATCATAGGAGGAACTTCAGGCTTGAGTAAAGGCCTGGAAGCTAAACTGTGCAGAGAGGCTGATACTTCTGCTGCTGTTATCGCTTGCTACTTGCTGCCCTGCCACACCATAAACTGTTTTGCTTCTGCAATGCTCCCCTGCCACTCTGCCTTGGAACCAGCTATGGACTGAAACCTCTACAAACTATGAGTCAAAATAAACCTTTCCTCCCTTAAAAAGATAAAATAAACTGTGCAGAGAAAGGATAGAAACTGTTGTTTAGTGTCCCGTGTTTGGAGAGAGAGGAGGGTCTAAATCATTAAGCCTTTAAAAACTAGGGGTTTGGAATATATTGTGAAGTTACTGAAACACTACAGATGGAAAAGATGGACTCAGATTAGTGAATTAAGAAAACTCTATAGAGCACAGACAAAGGATAGGAAAAGGTCTGACTGGGGAACACATTCCATAAAAATAATGAAGCCTTAAGCTGGGCATCGTGGTTAAGGTCTACAGTCCCATTCCCGAGGCCAAAGTTGGAGGATCACTGACCCACAAATTTGAGACTAGTCGAGGCAACATAGTGAGACCCCATTTCAAAAAAATAAAACATTAATGAAGATTTAAGTGAAGACTGCAGAAATGAATGGAAAAGAGATACAGAGATACCTATCAGGTAACACGATGATTCTGACAAATGAAGAGTGTGTGAAACAGGTATGAAGTTGAAAGCAGAAGGGAAGGTGATGCCAATAAAGGAACTCAGGAATCAGGAGGAATACACAAGTGAGGCAAATCAGTATAATGTTCAATATGTGAAATTCAAGGGATTGCTAGAAATCTATGAAGATGGTACAGCAAGATGGGACTAGTAAAACTTAAGAGATCAGCGTATGAAAATATTCACGGATAACTGAAACTGGGAGTACATGAAGCCATTTTGGAAGACAATATAGCTCTAAAAGATCATTGCTGCCTTGGAGAAACTATATTTAATCCTAGAAGAGGAGAGAACAATGTCTTAAGGAATTACTGCTCAGTGAAAGAAGAGATCTGAACAGGACCACTGGATTTGAAATTGAATAGGTACTGGCGACTTTGGGGGAGCAGTTTGGTAAGGGTGTCGACAATAGAATCCAACAAGGAGTAAACTGCCTAAAAAGCAGGCTAACGTATATTAGTTACTTGCAGACATTTAAAAATGACATAAAAATTTAAAAAGCTGCTTGAGAGAGGAGAAGGGGTATTTGTGACTCATCTTTGTAGTCAGGTCCTGCTCTCTTCTTATCAAGTAGCTGGTTTACACAATTGTACAAGACAGCAAGAAGGGATATGAGCTCCGTTTACTTTTTAACTAATCACTGGTCTAAAATAGCACCTACGAAGGGGAGTCGTAATCTCTTATCAGAGCCGAAGTCGGTCTCAGCAGCTTTGGCTAAAACTTCCACCGGCGTATCAGCGCTCCACTCCAAACTTCACGTCGCCTGCGCTTCTCCCGACGCCGGACCGCGGGAGGGCGCGCCGCGCTGCCCCGAGCTGGCTCAGAGCCCTCGCGCCTGGCCGGCGGGAACGGGCGCGGACCCGACACTGCCGTCCCAGCGCGGCGCGCCCGTCCCTCCATGCTGAGGTTCTGACGGCCACGGTCTGTGGCAGTGACATCCAGACCCACACGCGGCGCGGGGACACGGGCACAAACGGGACGCCCTGGGCCCCGCCCGCTGCACCGCCGGGCCTCCACTAACCTTCCGCGTCGTACCGCCCCACCTCGGTAAAATGAAACCCAGTGTCGTCAGGCTGAGGGGAAGGCGGGGATCCACTATCTTCCCTCTCTGTAAAGAGGAAAAGCTGAACCGACCCCACACAGCAAAGGGGCGTGCGGCTCTGGCCTGGTCCTCTAAGGCCCCGCCCCGGAGCTCACCACCTCCTTCGCGGCCCGCCCTCCGGACGCCAGGAACTACACTTCCCGGAGGCCTCCGCGGCGCCAAGGGGCAGGGCCGTCCTCTCTCCGGTTCAGGCTAAGAGCTGAATGGCTTTCTGGAAGGTAGGCGGGGTCAGACCCCTCCAATCGGCGAGAGGCTCGTTACGGCGGCGGAAGCAGCGGCGCTGAGAGAGGGGTGGGGGGCAGAGAGCTAGCGCCCCGGCGGCGCGGGTCTGGATCCCGAGGACGTCGGCCCCACAGGCGGGGAGTGCACGCGAGGGAGCTCGAGGCGGCGCGGCGGCCACTCGGCGAAGCACCCAGGTAATGGCGGGACGGGCGCCTAGGAAGGCAGGGGAAGAGACGAGGGGGCGGGGCGGCCGAACCCGGGTGCAGTGTCCGCCCCGCTGCGCGTACCGGGGGAAGGACAGCGGTGCCTCGGCTCCTATTGCTTGGGCTGCAGCTCTTTCGCAAGCTGGACACCGCGGCTGAGCCGGCGGTAGGGGCAGGGTGTCCTCTGGCGAGGAAGGGAGAGGCACCAGGAGGGGTGGGCAGACCCGGGAGTGGGGGCGTGGCTGATGTGGGCCTCGGCGGGTAAGCGGAGCGGCCCGGGGCGTGCGGGCGCGCGGGCGGGCGGGCGGCCCAGGGAGTTTGGCTCCTGGAGCAGTTTAAAGTGACTCTCCACATCCGGGCCCTGCGCCCGCCGCTTTCAGACCCCGGTCGAGGCGGGGCCTCCCCGCTCCCCGCCTCTCTGGCCGAGAGTGCTTGTCTCCCTTTGCCATTGGCCCAGCCTCGAGGGGTTTGGGCCGCCCCGGCGATACTCCCTCCTGATTGGCCAGCGGTCGGCGGGAGGGTGGGGCGGGCCCAGAGCGCGCAGGCCGCTGTGGATTGGTGCGGGTCCTCCAGTGACGCTCCGGGCGTGGAGCCAATGGGCGGGCGGGAGAGGAAGGGGCTGGTTCGGGGGAAGAGGACTGGGAGCGGAGCTGCGGCCGGGTGGCGGGGTGAGTCGGGTGAGTGGGGCCAGCGGGGCTGGACAGCGGCGAGCCCGGGGCACTAGGGCATGAGCTCTGTCCTTGTCTTCGTAGCCCAGCTTCGCTACCGGGATGGGCCCTCCGCGGCACCCCCAGGCCAGCGCTATGGAAGCGGGAGGGGCGGGCGGCGGCCACAGGTGAATAGGCACACTGCTTACCCTGTCGTGGGGCTTACAGGGCTCTTCCAGGACGCCTGCCCCTTCGTGGGACACGGGGTCGGACACGCGAGTGTCTGGAAACCCGTGTCCTCCCATCTTACCCGGGATTCGGAATGGGGTAGGGGGCCAAGCGGGGGAGATCGGTAGAGCGTGGCTCCTGAGGGCAAAGTGGGTGATGTTTTTTGAAGAGGTAGAGGTCTGGAGTCTCTCTGGCAAGGGGCAGGATCGGGAGTCTGGAAAAGACAAGAAAAAGGAAATCCGTAAATGGAGGCCTTTACAAAAAATCGTTTGGGAATGCCTTTTGCTTCAGATCTTAATGTAGTATTTCTAATCCTTCTTGGAACTAGCATTTCCCCTCTGAGTCTTCTTATGACATACTAATTACAGTTTTGTTTACCTTGGTGTGAGGTTTGAGTCTTTCAAAGACACATGCTGTTTTCTAGAAAACTTTACACAGGTGTGCATATGCCTTGCGATACCTGTTCACGTGGCCTTCATAATTTGTTAATGTCTTCACATATGTTGCTCATAAGTTAATGTTTTAGGTAAATATTGCATTTGTTATTTTATGGGAAGATATCGTGGATGCTAAAGATGCCTTGATTTCTCAATATTGATTCTAACCTTCCAAGCTAGTAATAATTATATGATTGTGTACTGTAGGTGGAAATGAGCTCTCAACAGTTTCCTCGGTTAGGAACCCCTTCCTCTGGGCTGAGCCAGCCACCTTCACAGATTGCAAACAGTGGCTCTGCAGGATTGATAAATCCAGCTGCTACGGGTGAGATGTGTACCCTTCTATACTGTTTTCCTGTTTTAAGAGTGTTGCCAATTTTATAACTTTAAAATTATCAAAATTCTCCTAGAATTTTAGTAAATACTAGTTTATTGAAATTGGAGAAAGGTTGTATTACTTTACTGCTTTAAATAAGATATTTGTCTCTCGTAATGGCTTCTTTCACATGTACTCTAGTAAAGCATATCTATAAGAATTAGTTTTTAGATGCACTAATATGTACTTATTTAACTCCCACAGGTATAGTAATAGTGCCATGAGGGAGCCCAACAGTGTATAACTCATAAAAGTCTTGCCTCTTAGGAGTTTACTGTCTAGGAAAAGAGGTTTTTAAAAAGTACATATGTACATCTGTGCAGTTTGGCTTTTAGTCATGGTAACCTTTTCCAGTGCTATATAGATCAGTGATTCTCTATAGTAGGTGATTTTCCACCTTGGCAATATTGGGCAATATCTGGAGATATTTTTGGGGTGCTATGGTCATCAGATAGATAGAAGCAAGGGATGCCGTGTGTTGTAAAATGCACCAGATTGCCTCTCTCCCCTCAGTTTCCCAGTCCAGTTTACAGTGCAAAGTTGAGGAGCTCCTTCAAATAATTTTTTTTAATGCATTAAGTAAAAAGATGTTGCAAAATGAAGTAAATTTTTCTATTCTTTTTTTTCTTTACCATGCAGTTTTCTGGGAATGGAGAATAGGTGGTACTGGGGATTGAACCCAGGTCTTTGCATTGAACTGCAATAGTAGATGCCCCCCACCCCCATCCGTTTTAAAACTCAAACAGGGTCTTGCTTAGTCACTAAATGGCCCAGGTTAGGCTCAAACTTGTGTCCCTCCTGCCTCAGCCCACCAGAATGCTGGAAGTACAGGCATGTGTCACTGTGCCTGGCTGTCACTCCCCACTTCTTGTGTTCCTTATGGTAAATGGTGCCTCTGTCTCCTGATTGCTCAAATCAAGAGCTGAAGCCATTAATTGGTCTTTGTCTCTTAGCTGTCAGTGGTGACCCTTCTCTTACGTTTTACCTTCATTTCCTATTGTATTGCTTTCCACCTACCAACGTGTTACAAATTTAATTCCCTTTAGATTTGAAGTTTCTTTAAACTAGTTTATGCCTCCTATGATGGTGCATCTACTCATATTTTCTGAACAAATGATGTAAAGTTCCCAAGTGTTATAACATTGGGACTTTGTACATTCTTTTCTGCATCACAGTCTTGTCTTTCCCTACTCATTTATCTGGCTGATTCTTGTTCTTTCTTGAGGTTTCATCTTGGATATCATTTTCTCTTGAAGTCTTTGCTGGCTCTATCTTCTGCAGTAACACAAGTTATGAGCACTGTAGAATGAACACTGCAGAAGAGCCAGGACTGTTTTTCTCATGCATCTTTGTATATGCTGGTCTTGAGGAGGGGCATGGTATACTCAGCAACTTCTTATTCTTAGCGAGCCACCTGAAGTTATTCCATTTGTGTGATGTGTGGGGTCTTGAGGTGGTTTCTTTGGTTGATTTTTTTTGTTTTGTTTTTTGAGACACGGTCTCACTATATAGTGGACACTGGCCTCCAACTCACAGTGATCCTCCTGCCACAGCCTCCCAAGTGCTGGAATTACAGGCATCTGGCTAGTTCTTCATTCCTTAACAAATACTTTTGACAGTATTTTGTCTTTGGTATAAACTCACAGCAGGATAATATAAAGGAGTATAGCTAAGGAGAACATTTTAAAACATCTGTTCTTTGCAAAGAATTAAACTCCACATTTAAAAAGGTGGCTCATAGCATTAACTGTCCTCAAATTTTGTTGAAAAAGAAATCATTGATTTAAACCCAAAATGTTGTAATTTACTTCTAAAAAATACATATATGTTTATTCTTTCAGTGGCCCTTAAGAAAATAGAAGTTTTGAGCCGGGTGTAGTGGTGCACTCCTATAATCCTAGCACTCAGGAGGCTGAGGCAGGAGGATCATTGTGAGGTCGAGACCAGCCTGGGCTACAAAGTGAGCTCAAGGCTGGCCTGAACTGCATAGCGAGACCCTGTCTCTAAAAGACCCCCCCCCCAAAAAAAAAGAAAGAAAAGAAAAGAAAATAGTTTTTCCTAAGTAGCTAAATGTTTATGTTTCCTATTGCACATATCACAAGAGATGATTTGGGATCTTAAGCATGTTAGGATTCCAAGCACAAGTTCAAAGTTAAGTGTAGAGAACTAACACTTCATGCTGCTTTTCTGGTAGAAATGAACTGAAGTAAATCCAAATGTCTGAAAGGAAATGATAGGTGAATCCCAAAGAGCCTAACAGGAAATGATCAATACGAAGTTGTTAAAAATCAAGTCTTCCTGGACAAATAGGGAGATGTTACGAAATTATCTATTTCCCTTCAGCATTTTATTAGAGAAAAATTATCTGGACAAAAAGGAAGTTAAAAATCAATACAAAGTGTAAAGACAGAAGTAAAACTGTCCGTAGTCATAAACAATATGCTCATGTATGCAGAAATCTTAAAGAGTCTTATTTGTATTTTTTAATTTTACTTACGTATTTGTTGTAATGGGTGTCAAACCCAGCGCCTTTGTAATGAGCTACATCTTCGGGTGTGTGTGTGTGTGTGTGTGTGTGTGTGTATGTATGTATATGTGTGTACATGCATGATAAGTTTCCCAGATGATCCTCCTGCCCCAGTCTTTGGAGTGCTGGGAGTACAGAGATTTTCCACTGTACCAGGCTCTAAGGAATCTTTTATTTCTGTATTTATTTCCAGTGCTGGAAATTGAACCCAGAGGCCCAGCAATTGGCCATATCCCTAATCCCCTTTCCTTTTTATTTTGAGATAGAGTCTTAAGTTGCCCAGGTATGGCTCAAACTTGCAGTTGTCCTGCCTCAGCCTCCCATAGTTCTGGGATTACAGGCATATGCCACTGTATCCAACTCTAGAAAATCTTCTTTAAAAAAATTAGAATTGATGGTAAAATTCATAAAGTTGAGCCAGGTGTAGTGGTACATGCCTGTAATCCCCTGTTCAGGAGACCAAAGCAGGAGGATCATCATGAGTTCAAAGCCAGTCTGGGCTACATAAGAAGTTCAAAGTCAGCCTGAACTACATAGCAAGACCCTGTCTCAAAAAACAACAAAAAAAGTAGTAGCATTGTAGAATATAAGATCCATGATTAAGTGTCAAGTACTGTATATGTCTAAATACAGACAATGGAAAATCAAATTCTTAGTGTCATTTACAGCAACATACAAAACAGTACTTCAGCTCGGCATGGAGGCACATGCCTATAATCCTAGCATTTGGCAGGCTAGAGTAGAAGGATCAAGAGTATAAGGCCAGCCTTGGCTATATAGTGAGTTTGAGCCCAGCTTGGACTATATAGTGAGACCGTGTGTCAGATATACAAAGCATGAAAACAAAACAACAAACAAAACATCCCGTGGTGATAAATATAACAAAATATATGTAGGACATAAAGTTAGAAGATTGTATGATTGCTAAGACAAGGTCTATCATGTTCATGAATTTGGAAATTCAGTATTTTTAGGGTATCAGTTTTCTCCAAAGTGATCTGTGGAGTCAAAAAAAAAAAAAATCCTATTTGAAATTCCACCATGCTTTTTTTTTTTTTAACTTGACAGTCTGATTCTAAAATTTATTCGGAAATCTAAAGGAGTTAAAATAGCTAAAGCAGTTTTGGCCAGAAGAAAATTGGAGAGCACTACCACCTTATTTCAAAACTTGGTACAAAGTTCCACTAATTGAGATGGTGTGGTATTAGCATAAAGATAAAACTATGTATCAGTAGAATAAAGTGGAAATTACAGAAATAGACATAAATGTATACGGTCAATTGACTTTTGACAAAATGCATAATTCAATAAGGACACAATAAACTGTACAACAAAATAGTATTGGAATACCAGGATATCCATATGGCAAAAAATGAACCTCGACTCTTACAATCTCCACATTAACTCAGATGTATCACAGACCTAAATGTGAATTTCAGAATATCTTAAAAACAGAAAAAACTATTTACAACCTTGGAGTAACCAAAAATTTCTTAGGTCACACACCCAAAAAGCTAATCATAGAAGCAGCTGACGCAAAATAAAAATGAATGCTCTTCAAAAGACACCATTCAGAAAATCAAAGGGCATGCTGTGCCACCAAGAGAGGACATTTTCCATGCTTAATCTATTAAAGGACACGTTCTGAATGTATAAAGAAGTCATAAATTAATAGTAAAAATATTTGACAAATATTTGGGTACATCAGGAAGAATAAATAAATGCCAAAGAAGCACATGCAAAGTTGCTCACCCTTCATCCTCAGGGCAGTACAGATTAAAACCATAGTGAACAATCACTGCACCCACCAGAGTGACTATGTTGGGAAGACTGACAGCACCAAGCCCTGGTCTTGATGTGAGGACAAAGGACTCGATACACTGCTATGGGTGGTAATGCAAAAGGGTCTGTCCCTTTGGGAACAGCTTGGCAAATGTTGCATAAAATTAAACGTACACTTAATAAGCAGTAAGCAATCCCATTTCTTAGGTAAATGAAAGACCAGTGAAAAGGTTTGTTTATATAAAGTCTCATACTTATTCCTCTTTTTTTTTTTTTTGAGATATGTTCTCTGTCGTTCAGGCTGGCCTCAAGCTCACAGCGATCCTCCTGCCTCAGCCTCCCACATGGTAGGATTACTGGTGTGTGCTACCACACCCAGCTCAATTGCACTTACATATTCTTAGATTTTTTATACAGCCAAAAAGGGGAGACCTCAAAGCCAGATAAGCAAATTGTGCTATATTCACAGTATAGAATACTACTCAGCAGTAAAAAGGAACAGCAGGCTACCAAAACACATCGCAACATGGATGAGCTTCCGTGTTATAGCAGGAAACATTCTACTAAAGGAAGGCAGACAGACGCACAAGAGCACAGACTGTGATACCATTTCTATCCTCAAAGTTGTAACTACAGAAAGCAGATGGATGCTGTCTAGGCGTAACAGTGGAATGGAGGGAATTGACAGTGCAGGGCCCAGAATAAACTTGTTGGAGTAGTGGGAAATGTTCTTTATCATTGTATTGTGGTTACACGACTCTGTCCTCTTATGAAATTTGATCTAATTTTGCACAGAGAATTAGAGAACCTTATATGATAATTACATCTCAATTAAGCCTGTTGATTAAAATGGTTAAAATGGACATATTCTGTACAAAATAAGATGTGTATGAGTAGCCTATGGTAACATAAAAAGATGTTCAACATTGCTAGTCATTTTAGAAATAGTAATTATAGTCAGGCATGATGCATGTCTGTAATCCCAGCACTCGGGAGGCTGAGGCAGGAGTATCACTGAGTTCGAGGCCAGTCTGAACTGCATAGGGAGACCTGTCTCAAAAGAAACAAAAAAAAAAAGAAGAAAGAAAGGAAATAGTAATTAAAGTTACAGTCAGCTGCTACTGCATCCTTACTAGAATAGCTGTGTATCAGACATTGGTGGGGAGGAGGAACAACTAGAACTCCCTTACTCTGCTAGGTGGAACATAAAATGGTACAGTTGCTTTGGAACCTACTTTGGGAGTTTCTTGGAACGTTTTTAATGTGTTTAACATCTGACCAAACCATTCTGTTGTAGGTATTGCTGAGAATGTTTCTTTAAAAAACAATCATTGAATTCACTGCTCATCGAGTATCCACTTCATTGTATATAAATTATAATTCAGTCAGTTGGTTTTATAAATCAGAATTTTAAAACTCCAAATGATCTGGGAGAAGAGTCAATACATTACAAAATAATGGTATATCAATCTTTTCACCCAGCACTTCTGCTTTTAGAAATCTTTTTCAGAAGAGGTTGTTAATAGTAAAAATTTGAAAGTAACTTAAAATAACCATCAGTGACATAGTGGCTAAAAAACCTATAGTATATATATGCAGTACAATCCCACATGGCCTTTTAAAAATGATGCTGTGTACACATATTTAAAAATGATACTGTATTCAATAACTCTGCTCCTAGGTATATGTCAACTAGAAAAGGTCTGTGTTCACCAAAAGACATAAGAATATTACTGGCAATATTGTTGTTACTCATTATAACGAAACACTGAAAATATCTAAATTACTTAACAATAAAGTGGATGATTTGTGATCTGTTCACAGAATGGCATATTTTAGAATGTTGAGAGTGCAGAATCTGCTGTGTGCAGTAACATGGACCAGTCATATCTGTGAGAGAAGCAAGACACAACAGGGTTTATGCTAGGAGTCTGTTTAGGTACAGTTTAAAGAGACAACACTAACCTAGTGTGACAAGTTACGACAGTGCATTTCCATGGGAGAGACAGTGATAGGGGTGGGTGGCTGCACAGAAAAGTGTCTGGGGCCCGGTTCTGCTTGGTTTCTTGAGCTGGGTCCTGGTGACTTAGTTGTGAGAGTTCATTGAGCTGCACAGTTAACATTTATGGGTTGGACGTGGTGGCCCACACAGTATTTGGGAGGCTGAGGCAAGAGGACTGGCACAAGTTTGAAGCCAGCCTGGGCTACATAGCAAGTTCAACGCCAGCCTGAATTAAAGAGTAAGACCTTGTCTCAAAAAAATTTTTTTTCTGTGCACTTAGTTTTACAAAGGTTACATACACTCCAGTGAGGAATGGTTAAATACAAATGCACCCCAAATTAAAAACAAGTGAGAAATATCTGAAGGTTTTATGGAAATATTAACTGTTGGTGCCTTATGAGGTAGAGCTTGGGATTCCTTTCGTTTCTTTATAGTCTTACAAATAATTTAAATTTCCTTCATAACTAAATATTATCTTTATGCTCAGAAAAAATAAAAATGCTAAATTCTTTTGGAAAAATCATAAACAAGTGTGAGTTAATATTTTCACAAACTCTAGTACATTAGTATTTGTTCCTTGATTGTATTAGTTTTTCAATAGGTTATATGTTCTGGTAGTGCAAAATTTAAAAAATAATAATAGTGTGTGTGGAGTAGGTTGTAACTCTGGTAGAGTGCTTTCTACCTGTGAGGCCCTGGGTTTCAGCCCCAGCACCATTTAAACAAAAAGTGTACAATAAAAATCATCTCTCTCCTTCCTGTCCCTCAATCTTGAAAAATTACGTTATTCGAGTTGGGAACTGTACTACATGTAACGTTTTAATGTTAGGTTTATATAACTTTAAGAATTTTTTTTTAGGGGGCTGGGGATTTAGCTCAGTGGCACAGCACCTACCTGGCAAGTGCAAGGTCGTGAGTTCAATTCCTGGTACTGGAAAAAAAAAAAGAAAAGAAAAGAATTTTTTTTAAAATGAAATTGTCTTATATCCTGTAATTCACTTGAAATTCTTTGAGCTTATTTTAAATGGTCATCAGGCCCTTTGTTCATGGGGTGGGGAAGCTACAATATCCAGAATAAATCCTATAAGTGCCACTCTTATCTGTGCATTATATTAATTTAGTTGGAAACTGATATATTTTCTCACTCTTCCTATCTATCCTAGTCAATGATGAATCTGGTCGAGAGGCTGACGTCAGCGCCAGGGAGCACCTGGGTTCCAGCAGCTCCCTCCAGGCCCGGGAGGAGAAACAAGAGCCCGTCGTGGTAAGGCCCTACCCACAGGTGCAGATGTTGTCTACTCACCATGCTGTCGCATCAGCCACACCTGTCGCAGTGACAGCCCCACCAGCACACCTGACGCCAGCAGTGCCACTCTCATTTTCGGAGGGACTTATGAAGGTAATGGAGAGGGTTCAGATTTTACACTGAACCCTAGCAAAAGACATGATTTTAACAAAGTCCTAGACTCAAACTTCATATTTTCTTTTTAGTCTGTCAGTTTAGCTCTTTGTCACTCAGAGCTCTGCTATTCTGCAGTGCCTAGACTTGTGCCTATGTGCAGGTGGCATCACAGGCTCTTTTCTGTTAGCCGTTTTGACATTGGTGTTATTCAGTTTATGGGCATGCTGACTTGGAACACTTGTCTCCTTGTAGTAGTAGCTAAAATTTTGGGAGTATCTGGACATACCGCCTGTGTATTACCTTTGGATTATTTTTCAATTACTGGGAGTTTTATTTACTTCTGCACATACTTGGGAGGAAGCATTGTGTAGAATAAAGAGCGTGGGCTTTGAGCTATGCTCAAAGATCTGGGCTTTAGTCCCAGTTCTATTTCTAACTGTCTCTGTGGCTCTGAGAAGTCACTTAGCCTTGGTTTGTACATTTCCTCCTCTATAAATTGAAAATGCTAGTACTTCAGTGGAAAAACTGTCATGCTGACAGATACACCGTACAGGGCTAAAGGCATCTTTACTGGCATTCTCTAAATCTGATTTTTGTACTTTTTAACTCTAAAATGAAATGGGTCGTTAGAACAAGCTATTGATACGTGTTGTGTGGTTTTCTGTTCACAGCCGCCCCCGAAGCCCACTATGCCTAGCCGTCCCATTGCTCCTGCTCCACCTTCTACCTTGTCACTTCCCCCCAAGGTTCCAGGGCAGGTTACCGTTACCATGGAGAGTAGCATCCCTCAAGCTTCAGCCATTCCCGTGGCAACGATCAGTGGACAACAGGTGTTTTTCTTAATTTGCTAATTTTTAACAATTTAATGCCAAATTGTTGATCACTATGTATTGAATGCATACAGTGAGCAGTGTCCTAAATGAAAAATTACGCATGCGTGGATTTCTGCAAGAGCAATATAGTAAATTGGAGAAAAAGACTTTAGAGAAGTTGCCAGTATTTACAAGCATCTGCTGCTGTGTGCTGGGCATTACCCTCAGTATGGGGTAAATCGAGTTATATCTGTATCATCTGTATCCTCAAGGAATCAGAGTCCAGTTTGTCTTTGGTTATACAGAGACAATTCTAAGGGATTAGGAACGGCCTCATAGCACTAGCATTGGGCATTGTTCCTTTGTGTTTTCTTGGAGAACTGCAGATACGTGCCTCTTTGGGTGCTCATGTATTCCCTTAGACACCCCTGTAGTCGTAAGTGTTTATTTTGAAGTCTCCTTTCTTCTTTTCTTTTCTTTAATTTTACAGTTCTGTTCATTTAAGTGTATTTGATCATTAAGTCTATCTATGAGAAAAATCTAAATTTAAATGCTTTCCCATCATGCTATCGAGCAAAACCCATGTTCCAAAAGCCCTGGGTTGTTTTCCTTTTGTCATACTGCTGAGTACTCCTGGAAATGGAGAAGCCCTCACCTGAGAAGCAGTGATGACAGAGGGTTGGGACATTTAACAAGTGAGCTGAAGAACGCATAGGGGTGTACTTGTTGAATACTGACATTCAGAAATCTTCAGCAGCATAAAGGAACTAGGGCAAAATAAGCCTTCAGCTAGAGAAGAGAAAACAAATATGAAAGGCTAATGTTGAAGATGAGAGCTTCTAAAAGTAGAATCAAATATGTCCTTTTCCTGGAATCTAGCATTTAGGTAGGCCTGAAGCATTGGAAGACTCCTCATACTCACTTGTGACATACCTAGTGGCATGGATCATTATAGAAGATGGTGTGTAAAACAGCTAAAACTGAATGTCCTCAGCTGTTTCCCTTGGAAGTTCCCACTAATAGGAGCAACTTTACCTACATGTGTAGGGAGATGGTTTCCTAGAGATAGTGTGTACACGCAACGTGAAGATGACTTTGTATCCTGTTTCTTCCAGGGACATCCCAGTAACCTGCATCATATCATGACCACAAATGTACAGATGTCTATTATCCGCAGCAATGCTCCTGGGCCGCCTCTTCACATTGGAGCTTCTCATTTACCTCGAGGTAAAGACACCATGTTTTACTGGGTGTGGTGGAACACACCTGTAGTCCCAGCATGCAGGAGGATTGCCACTAGTTCAAGGCCCGCCTGGACTACATAGGGAAACGCTTTAAAAAACCAAAAAAAAAAAAAGACTCCATGTTTTATTCAAACTGTACAATGACACATACATGCTTAGTAGAAGATGTAACATAGAGTGTATCCAAGGTCAGTTTATTAAAGTTGCAAGACAGTAGAAGTAGATGCAGTACATGTTTTTAACGTGGTCTAATATGTGCTTCTCAGATTACATTAAACAAGCGTATGTGAAAACTTAAAGCAGTGCATATTCTTAGTGTGTTCTAAAAATTGTTCTTCAGAGGAACTCCTCAAGGCTATCACAGTCTAAACTTGGTCTTTGTTTTTAATAAATAAGTCAGGAATACTATTTTTTTTGTTTTAATTTTCTGTCTTTTTGAGACAGGGTCTCACTATGCAGTTCAGGCTGGCTTTGAGCTCACTTTGTGGCCCAGACTGATCTCAAACTCACAACAATCCTCCTGCCTCAGCCTCCCAGTGCTGGGATTACAGGAGTGCACCACTGTGCCTGGCTAGAAATACTAACAGTATCTTTGTCTTTTTTTTTTAAGAGTGCTGGGAATTGAACCCAGGGCCTTGTGTGTAGTAGGCAAGTGCTTTACCTCTAATTTACATCCCAGCCTAGTACTGAATATTTTTTACATTTACTAATAAGTTACTCATTTTTTAAAAAAATTCACATAGCAATCAAAGTATTTATATAGCAATAATTTATAATTTTTTATAAATTGTAGTAAATTATGAGTTTTGAGCAGAAATTGTTACTTTCTATTGGAGAGGGTGAAGCAGTTGAGCAGTTGATTGTTGGCAAAATCAGTTTAGCAAGCACAAAATCAGTTTTGTTCAGTAATAGCATAATTCCGTGGTGCCCTGATTAGAGTTTACAAGCCCTTTTAGCGGGTCTGTGGCATCAGCCATTTTCATGAAGATGTTAAGACACTATTTTCCTTTTTCACAATGTTGACATCTGCACTAGTGCAGCAGAGCCAGTGTCAGGTGAGGCAAAGTGTCAATGCTGGTGTTTAAAGTGCTGGAATGTCAGCATCCAGGCAGCAGCATCATACTGCTCTTTATTGTGCTTGGTACTTGCAGTAAAAAATAAAAAAGTAAAGCAAAGCAATAGCTGGTTTTATTAAAGCTTGTCCTTGAAGAAATAGTATGAATTATTAATCTTAGTAAGTCTCAACTTTTGAGCATACATGTACTTAATTTCTCCTTTTACTGAACTCCCGGAGCCAGGCGAGATCATACTATCTCAGCTCCCTGAATAGATATGCCACCGTGCCCAGCCTTTTGTTACTTTTCTTTGTAAAACAGTGGGAGTATAGGGTAGCATACTTCAGTTAAATGCCACACACGTTTTGAGTTTTAGAAATCATTATTTCCCTAGGGAATATAACTGCATCTATTTAAAGTGTGAGTCTAAAAGCCATGCTAACAAAACCAATTTTTTTTCAGGTGCAGCTGCTGCTGCTGTAATGTCCAGTTCTAAAGTAACCACAGTCCTGAGGCCGACCTCACAGTTGCCAAATGCTGCCACAGCACAACCAGCAGTACAGCACATCATTCACCAACCAATCCAGGCATGTCAGGCCTTGGGTACTCAGCCAGCAAGTGTTGCATGCCTGATGGCGGTCACTCACCTTGCCAGGCAAACCTCAGTGACTTGACCTGAGGAAATGTGGAAAGATATGCAGTGTGTAGGTGGTAGGTAGTGAGGGAAGGGTTTTTGTTGAGATCAGAGTGATAATGAGGATTCAGAGAGGTGGAGAGGAAATGAGGGAAGTAATAGCTAGAAAGAAAATAATGGTTATAGACAGCATGTCGTGAAGTTTGATTAGAATCAAGAGGGAGCCAGGTGTGGTGATGGACACTTGTAATCCCAACACTTGGGAAGAGGCTGAGGCAGGAGGATCACTATGAATTTGAGGCCTGCCTGGGCTACATAGTGAGTTTAAGGCCAACCTGAACTACATAGTGAGACCCCGAGAAGGATTTTGATTTGGAGAAGGATCTGCGAACCTCTGCAAATTTTATGTATATTCTCATGCTTTTCCATAAGGATATGCTTTCCAAAAGCATATGCTTTTCCAGAAGGATAGTGTGTGCCTTTCACGTTATTTTGCAAGGAAATCTGTGGCCTCAGTACTACTAATGTAGACTATATCTGTCAATTCAGGGCAGTAAGATATGGAGTATGAATTTCATTTGGTAGACAGTAGAGAGCAACTACAATTTTTTTTTAAACTAGTAATGTGTGATTTTTTTAAAAACCTGAAAGATTAATCTAGCTGAATTACATAAAGAAATGAAAATCCAAATGCCTTCGGGGATCAGAGATGCAGTGTGAAACAGCTGTGTTTAAGATCGTAAAGAAAAGTCCTGATTGGCTTTCACATTAAAGCAAAAGGCCTTGCTAGCCAACAAAACAAAGTTGGAGGGCAATTAGGCACCCCAGGAATCCATACGGAATATGTGATTAATTGGAGAAGGGTGAGAGCCAAGACGTGGAGCTCACTGGTGAGAAGCAGCAGTAGCACAGGTGTGAGACAAGTAGCTACACAGTAGAAGGAGCAGGAGGGCTGAGGTTAAAGAGTAGACAGAGTTTGCTGTGTATGACCTTGTATGATCCAAGGTCAAGAAAGGGTTGAATCAAGGTCTTCAGAATGAGGGTGGATAAGCAAGCTCTGTCTGGGAAGCCCTTTCTGTCATACACAAAAATGTAGTGGTAAGGAGTAGGGTTATATGTCCATATGAAAAGATGGAAAAAGCATCTGAGCAAACCCCTGCACCTTTTTTCCTTTGGGCACTATGACTCTTGACAGCACAGGGTACTTTGTCCTTTTGCATGGTAGATTGGCCTTAAGCCAAAGTACTATCCAAAAGTGAACAGCTCTACCCAGAGGCTGTGATAATGTAAAATATCTACACCAGGACCCATGGCGGACCAAGGGAACACCAGATCTGAAGGGTTAAATCCCACTTTGCAGTAAGGAAAGGGGAATGTTTTGCCCTCAGTCATGTTTGGAAAGCAGGAGGGTCTCTAATACTGTACAGCCAAATTGGGGTTTCTGATAATGCCATCCCTTGGTGTTAAAAAAAGACTGGCTGAAGAACTCTAGTGAGAATGGTGAGACTTTATTTTCACTAGGAGACAAACATACTCTTTTGGAGGTCCAAGTTTCAAATCATACCTTTAGTGTTTTGCTTACTGTATTTTGGTTTTCCTTTTGTTTTAATAAATTTTCTCTCCTGTTGGTAGTCTCGTCCACCTGTGACCACCTCCAATACTATCTCTCCTGCTGTGGTAGCAACTGTCTCAGCCACCAGAGCTCAGTCTCCAGTCATCACTACAACAGCAGCACACGCTACTGATTCAGCACTGAGGTATGTGTGGCAGTGTGGATGTAGAGCCAGACTCCCACCTCCCTTTATCAGGGAGCATATGGGCCACAGTTAAAAGTTTTGAGGTAACTTAGTCTGTGCAGTCAGTGGATGGACTGGAAAGAGGATGTAGAGCAAGACCCTGAAGAAATAACATTTAAATGGAGAATAAAGCGTAGGACTTACTTTTAACCACAGATTACATCACCTGCAAGCTGTGTGACATCAAGGTTTCCCAACTCCCTTCATCCTTAGTTCTCTCCAATAAACTGGGATACTTTGTGGTGATTAAATAGGTTACCTGATAGGTTAAAAAGACATACAACTGCCCAACATAAAATAAAACACTTCTTTGTTTTAATTTTATGTTCACTTTAGAAAGTTAATATATTCTGATGATGTGATGAATTTCAAAATATGTACATGAATATACAGTGAAAACTCGGGTCAGGCTTTTTTAATCAAATTATCAAAATATCTGTCTCCATGAATTGAGTGTTTCAGTAAAAATAGACATTGAATTTTGCTGAGAGATTCTTCAATATTCACTCATACAACAAATGCTTATTGTGTGTGTCTCCCTCCTCTATGCCAGGCACTGCTGTAGGTATAGGAGACACTAAGTTACACCAGCAGAACCTAATGGTCATAATGGGAAGGAGGACAAGGAGTGGGGTGGTAAGAAAGGGAAAATTGAATAAAAAAAAAAGTTGAAGAAAAACATGGAAATAAAGCTTTTGCAAGTGAGAAGGGAAGAAGAGTTGGAGTGGGGAAGGATGGGAGGGGAAGGGGTGGGCCAAACAATAAAAACTAAGATATCCTATGTATATATGCAGTATCCCCATGATAAATGTAATCATGTAGTGTAAAATGTACTGATTTTAAAAACCCTAATGGTCAGTTGAGATGATTTTTCTATTTATAGCTATAATTCTTGTAAATATCTAATAAGTAGGTATCTGTATTCTGGAGATCACATGTTTAAACAGACTAATTTATATGGAAGAAGTAGAAGATAGAATTCAAAGTACAGTCTCCTAGAAAAGCACCAGGCCCGGGGGCTCCATAGAACCTGACAAACATTTGGAGCTGAGTGTGGTGGCAGGCTGAGGCAGAATTGCCACAAGTTCAAGGCCAGCCTGAACCACATAGGGCGACCTTGTCCCCAAAAAAAGAATTGTACCATATTCAAATGCCAAATAAACCTATGAAAAGGAAATTGCGGGCTGGGGACAGCTCAGGAGCATAAGCACCTGCCTGGCAAGTGCAAAGTCCTGAGTTTGATTCCCAGTACCAAAAAAGCGGGGGGGATTGCTACAAGGCAAACAAAAAAGAAGTAAAATTCAAGAAAAATTTCAGTGGTTTTACTTTTTCTATTACATGCATTCAGTCCCATTTGTCAGTATTTAATCTGTTTTTTCTTTCACTTGTCATTTTGTTGGCTGCAATTTTTCCTTATTACTGTCTTCAAAAAAGAATATTTCTCTCCTTCCTCCCTTCCTCCTTCCTTCCTTTCCTCCCCTGCCCTCCCATTCCCTTCCCTCCCCTCCTTCCCTCTCTCCCTCCTACACACCTTTTTCCTTCCTTCCTTCCTCTCTCTCTCCCCCCCCCAAAAAAGGCTTTTTCTTTTTTTAATTTCAGAGAGAATTTTAAAAACCCAATAATATAGAATTACAAAACATATAGGAGATTAACAATGGTTAATATATTGTGTATTGATATCATCAGAGTAGTTCTTCAGATTACAAGATATAGATATGCATAATTGATCAAACAATATAAGCACCAACTTTTTTTCAATGAACTAAAAGAAGTCAGTAGTATAACTATCTTATCTATCTTATGTGTACTTGTTCTTTCTTTTTGAGCAGTTTCTTTCCCTTTCTCAAGATCTATTGCAGATTTTGTAACTTGTTTACTCTTTCAGTTTCTTACATTAGGAAGATAATATGTTTACATCTGCAGGTCTGATTTATTTCACTTATGAGTATGGTCTCTAATTGCATCCTTTTACCTATAAAAGCCTCAAGTTTGTCCTACTTTATAAGTGAGTAATACTCCATTGTATAAAAGTACCACATCTTTTTATCCATTCCTCAGTTGATGGGCATTTGGGTTCTTTCCAAGATTTAGCTATTACAAATTTTGCTATATAAGCATGGGTGCACATACATCACTATGGTATGATGTTTTTAATTCTGCAAAAATACACAGAAGGGGAATAGCTGAATGGGACCTCTAATCCTAGTTTTAGGAAGAATCTCCACACTGATTTCCATAGTGCTTGTTCTAGTCTGCACTCCCACGAACAGTGAAGGGGGCTCCTTTTTCCCCACAGCCTTGCCAGCATTTGTTATTGGTTGATTTCTCCACGATAGCCATTCCAAAAAGGCTTATTTTAAAGGACAAGTATTTTGAATTTTCCGCATGTCCAGAATCACTTTCCCAGGTCTTTGCACTTAGCCAGCAGTTAGCTCATAAAATTTTTTTGTTATTTTTATGTTCTTTCCTTGAGTACCTTATAGGTATTTCTCCCCTGGATGATGAGCGATGCTGAAATCTAGCTAGACTGTTTATCTTTTTAAGACAGTCTCACTGTAGTTCAGGCTGGCCTCATACTCACTGTATAGCCCAGGCTGGCCTTGAACTCACGGTGATCTGCCTGCCTCTGCCTCCCAAGTGCTGGGATTATAAGTGTATGCCACCGCATCCACTAGCCTGTTTTATTTTTTAACCCCTAAGAAGCTCTTCATCTTTTTAATTGCCCCAGTCTTCATCTTTAAATTTAGCAACGTTACCAAGATCTATTTTGTAGTTACTTCCTTCATCCTTACATATGACTTGTTTTGACATGGTATGCCTTTTGATATGTAGCATAAAATTGTATGAAAAGTTTCGTTGAATTCTAATTTTATGTATTCTGTCCCATTTTATTGGAGGGACACGTCATTACGATACATTAGATCTTTTTGCATGACTTCCTTATGTAATCCTTCTAACTATGTTTTCTCTTTAGATTCTGCTTCTGATTCTCTCCTTTTGGCGTTTTCGCATTCTGTTTTATTTTTCATGTTGCCTTCATTCCTGAAATCAATGAATAATTGTCTCATTTTTTTTATGCCTGCTCATTTATCTCCTCTTGTTTTGTCATTGCTTCCAGTGGGCTATTATACCTTTGCTTTGTATTTTGATTTCGTAGAAGCAATTTTTCATCTGCCTCTTGAGAGCTCTTCAGGTGTGTTTCCCTAGTTGCTTTGCACCTTTTTTCTTGTACTGTCTTTAAATAGATCTTCTGTTGGTCCCCTTGTAAGTTCTCATCTTTGATTGGATTTTGTGTATTCTGGGTCAGGTATTTATAATTGTTGTTGTAGCCTGGGCTGTGCACTGGATGAGGAGCCATTTGCTGAATAACTCGATGTCCTTTGAGTTTTCATGAACACTACTGCTCTGCAGCCAGTGCGCATAGACTACTCAATGGCAGGGTCTTTCTCTTCTACGGGTCTCACCACACAGTGCTCCCCACTCTCCTACATCTGCGCACTTTGTGGCTCAGCGTGTGTCCTTGGCTGCAAAAGTGTGCCTCTCACTTTGGAGAGTTATACTTTGCTCAGTTTGATACCTGAAATTGTAACTGTGGAAATCCTCTGTCCTTTGGCTCCTGCACTACTGTTTAGTTACTACCTTTGCCAGTTCTGCTATCTCTTGTATGAGTTGATATTTCAGGTGTCTACTAGTTTTGCCCAAGAAGGAGACTACACTTTGCAGTTTTCATTGCCACTGTTCTTTTTTATTTGTTTGCGGGGGGGGGCAGGTCTTTTTGAGACAGGGTCTCACTATGTAGTTCAGGCTGCGCTTGAGCTCACTTTGTAGCCCAGGCTGGTCTTGAACTCACAAGGATCCTCCTGCCTCAGCCTTCCGAGTGCTGGGATTACAAGCATGCGCCACCACGCCCTGCTGCTTGAGAGAGAATTGTATAGCAGTAAATGTGCTTGTTTTTTGATACTGTTTTGTTTTGTTTTTTGGTATCACGACCTTGTACTTACCAGGCAGGCACTGTGCCACCGAGCTACATCCCTGGCCCATTGCCACTGTTCTGTGACAAGAGGAGAAAATACCAAATCCGTAGTCTCTGCCTGCAGCCCTCTTACTCTTAATCTGAAGAAGTCAGGCAAGAACAGAACTGAACACCAGAAAATAAGTACAAGACCAGTGATTGAAAATCAGCTTATTTTCTGTAGATGTCAGATTACTAAATTTGGTCTCTATCTGTGAAGTTGCTTTTCAGGTTATTAAAACAAAGAGAGCCAGGCATGATAACGTACGCCCAAGGTCCCGGCACTCTGGATTGCACATTTGAGCCCAGCTTGAGCGACTCACCAACTTAGTGAGACGTTATCTCCAAATAAAAAAGTAGAAAAGGAGCTAAGAATTAGCTCTTTGTGAAGGCCTTGGATTCAATCTGGGGCAAGGGCAGGAAGAGAGGAGAGAGAGGGAGGGAAGCATTGAGGACACATTCTGAAAAGTGATTGTTGGGCTATTCCGTCTTTGTGCTGACATCCTACAGTTGCCTACAGTAGCCTAAATGGTGACTTCTTGGTACAACCAAGATACACAGTAAACCTCAGAGGTAGGCTGCTGTCAGTATGAAATGATGGCCTGTTTCACAGTGTACTTAATAAGCAGGACATTCAGAAGTAACAGTGAAGTGGATAGTATAGTGAATGCATAGACCAGTAACACTGGTTAATTATTACCAGATACTACGTACTGTATGTAAGTCACACAATAATGTCATTTCAGTACAGCTTTGGAAACACATAGGCATTAAAGACCTTCACTTCAGAAGTATCCCTGGCAAATATGGCTTTTGCTGTATTTCAGTTTACTGCCATGTATGTTAAGCAAGTGCTCTACCCCTGAGCTACACCTTCCACCTTTAGTCAACTTTGCTTCCCATGGTTTTTTCCCTTGACAAACATCTGGGCTGTTCCCCATGCAGAGAATGCATGGCCCGTGCCCTCATCTTGTTGATAGAGTCTTTGTTCCTTCTTTCTCGTCTTGTTGGCAAAGACTCCAGAGAGCCCTTTGCCTTTCTAAGGCAACTTGTTCATGGCTTTTTGGTATTCTTTTAGTGTTTCTTCATGCAAATATAGTCAAGTTCAAATGCAGTTTTTGTTTTTATCTTTTTACCCAAAAAAATACTTAATTCATGAATCCCTCTTTGCTTTTTTTCATAAAAAACTAAAAGTTTTTTATTTCAGGACATAGGGTTCCATCATTCTTTTAGTAGCAATATAGCAGTGTGTTATACAAATAGATGTGAGGTGGTTTCTATCTACGGTCATAGATTATAGCACAGCAAGTAACATCACACCTATCATTACACATGTGTGCAAGTATATCTGTAGTGTAGACTTCCAAAGCTGATCAGAGAGCATATGCAATTAAAATTTTGATTTCCTTAGGGTATCAACACCTTTGTGTGGATTTATAACCAGTTAGCACTCCCCCTGCATTTAATATGTCTCAGCAAATTTTTTTTTTAATTTTAAAAAATAAAAGAAGGAAAATATATTAACAGACATCCATTTACAAAATAGCATAAGAATAATAAAAACAAAACAGTTACAGACAAAGTTATAGGAAATTAACCATGGTTGTTGTGTTACTTATTGATAACTTCAAAGTGGTTTCTCAGGAAAACAAAAAAAAATAAACGAAATTGATCAAATAAGTAATCATTAACTGTTCCTTTCTGTAGAGCAATAGAAGACAGTAGTACAACTATGTTAGCTATCCTGTATATACATACTTACATAATTTCCCCTTCTTTCCCTTCTCGTTTCCCACACCCCAGTTGCCCTTTACTTTTGAGCATTTTCCTTTCATTTCACAATGTCTGTCATACCTCCTAGTTGTCTCAGCAAAATTTGAATTATATTTTTTGTTTTAAAAATGAGAATGAACTGGGCACTGTGGTATGTCCCTGCAGTTTTAGCTGGTGCTTTGGGAAGCTTAGGGAAGAGGATCTGTTGAGCCTAGGAGTTTGAGACCATCCTAGGGGACATAGTGAGATTGTCTCTGGGTCTCTGTCTCTGTCTCCTTCCTTCCTTCCCTCCCTCCTCCTGCCTCCATCTCCCTCTCCTCTTCCCTCTGTCTCTCACTGTGCTGGGAATTGAATTCAGGGCCTTCACAGTGAGCTACATCTCCAGGTTTTAAAAAATATTTTTCATTCTTTTTTTGAGACGGTCTCTCTTTTTTGAAAGGCCTCAGCCTTTCGTACTGCTGGTATTAGAGGAATGTGCCACTTTAGTTTTGGTTTTTGAGGCAGATTATCAATATGTAGTTCAGACTGACCTCAAACTCACTATGTAGCCCAGGCTGGCTGTGAACTCACAGAAGTCCTCCTGCCTCAACCTCTCAAGCCCTAGGATTATAGGCATGTGCCAACCACACTCAGCACATTTTTCTTTCTTAAACCATTTCTGTTTTCTTTTTAGTCAACTGGCTGTTTATATCTTTTGTCCTTTTTTTGTCCTTTTCCAAATGGCTGTGTAGTTTTACCAATACCATTTATTTAATAGTACGTTTATTTATTAAATAGTACATTTCCTCCCTCAGATTTGAGAACCAGCTGTATTGTAATAGCACTTTTTCTTGCCGTTGTTGCACTTTTGGTTATTGACCTTTTTTCTTTAATTTCTAGAAACTCTTTCATAGTTTTTGGATTTTGAAAGATGGTATGTGGGACTAGAGATAGAACCCGAGGCCTCATCCATGCTAGGCAAGCAATAAGTCACATGCCAGTCCCTGGAGCTTAGTAGTTAAGACAGCTCTTCCTGGCTCCAAAGTTAGAACTTCTGTCATCTTTTCTACGTGTACCTATTTAGTTCCCTTAAATCTAATTCTGTTAATATTTATTCTTAGTATACTCTGTGAGGCGTAGATCTAACTTTACATATTCCAAATGTCTGTATAGTTTTACCAATACCATTTATTAAATAATACTTTTTCTCCCTCAGATTTGAGAACCAGCTATATTGTAATAGCACTTTTCCTTGCCATTGTTACAGTTTCAGTAGCTTGCTGTGGATTAATTTAAAATGACATTGCTATCCTGGTGATAACTGTAACTTTGTATTGTTTCAGGAATGTTTTTTCTAGTAAGAAATGCTATAAAATTGGTGGGAAGTTAATGTTTTCAAGAATCGCGGGTTAAGGTGCTGTTAGTCTTGATTTTCTGTTGTTTTCCCCCCAAAAAATTGTCAAAACTTCTTGATGTGAGAACTTTATTATACGTCTTCATATTTACCTGCAGACTAAAGTATAGTGGTGCTAATAATGCTCACTCAAGATTGCTGGAGAGGCTGGGGTGTAGTTCAGTGAAAGAACACTTCCCTAGCATGTATGGGGCCCTGGCTTCCATCCCTAACACCACCAAAAAAAAAAAAAAGAACATTATGAAATGGTGACTAAATATATCATCAGTAAGGATCATGCAGTTTGTGGTACATAGTTTTTTGGTTGAGGGGGGCTGGTTTTGAGACAAGACCTCACTGTGTAGTAAAGGCTGACCTTGAACTTGCTTATGTAGCCCAGGCTGGCCTTGAACTCATGAATTCACAGCAGTCTTCCTGCCTCAGGCTCCCAAATGCTGGGATTACAGGCGTGAGCCACCACACCCAGTGTGTGGTACATATTGATAACTTCTACAATAAGAATGATGCCAGTTTTAGGAGAAAAATCCAATGGGCTATTTACTTCATTGGTGTGACTAAGACCAAGTATCAGTTTAACTGTGGGTTTTACAGACTAATGGAAAATACAAGTTGTGTGACTGGCGTCTAACACAAGACAGTAAACAGCTTTGCCTGCCTATACTGGTCTGTCGGCAAGTTACAAGTCACATAATATCTATGTCTTTCAGTCGGCCCACTTTGTCTATCCAGCATCCACCATCTGCAGCAATTAGTATCCAGCGTCCTGCGCAGTCTCGGGATGTGACAACAAGAATCACACTGCCATCTCACCCTGCATTAGGGACACCAAAACAGCAGCTTCATACAATGGCTCAGGTAAGCCAGAGGTGCTGGGATGGAACCAGAACTGTGCACAGTGTGTTAGGATGGCAATGTGAAGGCTGGCCTTACTCTTAGACTGGAGGAAGTGGGAAGTGTTCTGGTTTATAACTCTGCATTGTGGGGTTCTCCCTGCAGAAAACCATCTTCAGTACTGGTACACCAGTTGCTGCAGCAACAGTAGCACCTATTTTGGCAACCAACACCCTTCCTTCAGCAACCACAGCTGGTAAGTGGTGAGCTAATTTGTCATTTCTTTCGTTCAGAGAAAAGTTACAAGCTAGAAAAATTCTCTTACCTTTTCTCAAGAGCTTTTCCAAGACTTTTAAGAATCGGTAAGCTGAGTGTGGTGGCACACACCTGTAATCTCAGCACTCAGGAGGCTGAGGTAGGCAGATCGCAAGTTTGGAGCCAGCCTGGGCTACATAGTGAGTTCAGGGCCAGCCTGGACTACATAGCAAGACCCTGTCCCTGCCCACCCCTCAAAATAATCTATAATGTGTACAGAGAGGCCATTGTTAAAGAATTTCCTTTTCTCCCTCATTTCAGGATCTGTGTCACACACACAAGCTCCCACGAGTACAATTGTTACCATGACAATGCCCTCCCATTCATCCCACGCGACTGCTGTGACCACCTCCAACATCCCAGTTGGTAAGTGCTGTGTGACCTTCACACAGAATCCTCTCAGGAATTTTTCAGCCTCTTGACCAGCCCTCATGTTGGTAGCTAATATTGGTTGTTTTTTAATTGCTTATTTTCAAAATAACACTGAATCTGACTTCTAATAATATTTATTGTGCAGATTTGACATTGACATTGGAAGAAAAAACATACCAGTCTTTGAGCACTCAGAGTAAATTTTAACTCTGGTTTTGACTTCCTTCTTCTCAAACTTTACCTTTTCTGTGTGCACCACCTTGTATAGAAATGTTAACTTTACTGATAGATAAAAACAGGAAAAACTGTCTGGAATGAGGAGAATGTGTACACTCTGGTAGATGTTGAGGAGGAACTCTCTGGAGAGTGCAGCACTTGGAGAGCACTAGACCTTGAGGTGGTCACTTTGGTTTTCTTCTGCATGTTACCCCAAGGAACCTCATGACCATCCTATAATTTCTTTTGGCTTTGTTTAGTCCATTTTTAAGTATATGTATTCTTGGGTTTTATGAGACAGTCTCTCTATGTAGCCCAGGCTATCTTCATACTCATTAGGTAGCCCCAGCTTTCCTTAAGCTTGCAGTCTTTGTGCCTCAGCCTTCCTAGTGCTGATTACAGGCATGCACCACCATGTCTGGCTACATGCATTCTTTGAATATTGAATCTTTCGGTTTTTTGCAGCTGAACATTAGTCATCAATTGGCAGTGATTGGCAGACTTTTTCTGGAAAGCCAGATAGTAAATATTTTAGGTTTTAAAGGCCACATAGGTCTGTCACAAGTGTTCCACTCTGCTTTTTGTATAATGACAGCAGCCATGGACTGTGCATAAACAATGAGTGTGTCTCTTTTCCCATTAGACTTTAGTTATACACAGAGAAATTTAAATGTTATATCATTTTCACAGTTCGTGAAGTACTTTTGATTCCTCCCCTCCCCAAGCATTTAAAAGTGTAAACCCATAGGCCACACAGAAACAGGCAGCAGGCCAGATTGGCCCAAGAGCTATAGGTTGCCGTCATCTGTTGTAGAGGGCTGATACAGTGCTTCCACCACATCCAAAGCAGAGTCTGAGGCCAGGAGGCAGAAAACAGCTGTCGTGGACTCAGGCCACAGGCTTTAGTTTCTAGTGTTTTGCCTGACTTAGTTCTGTAATGATGACTGTGCCATGTAATGATGACTGTGTTCTCTACTTCCAAAGATATTAAGTAACTGCCCTATTTTTAGCAGTGTGCTTTTAGAAATAAGGCTGGTTTTGTTTGTTTGTTTGTTTGTTTTTGATGAGGACACAGACAAACAGAACTGTCAGAAGTCTGGTAACCTGACATAGACTCATGGCTTCCTTGCTTACCAGTCCCCTCCTTCTTACACACATGAGAAGGGTTATGGCTTCCCAGTCCTCTCAGTGATCCTTGAGGACACTTTTCTGGAATAGCGGTCCAAGCCGGGAAGCCTCTCTCCTTGTAAATAAGCAGAGCTACACTAGCCTCTGTGCTTAGCCCCACGAAAGGTCTTCAGAGAGAATCCTGCTGCTAGTCTTTCTTACCCTACTGCTCACTATGACTTGACAGTGGATTGACCGAACTTGTCTCATACTCTTTACAAATTCATTTTTATCAAAATAAGTTTTATATGTGAATATGTGTTGCTTTAGCCTTAGTGCACTTTTGTTGGAAAAGACTGGATTGTTCCGTATTGTCATTCACTGTTTTCTGGCTTTACCTGGTAGTGTCATTAGCTGTCCTTGGTGCTGTAATAACAGAAACCTTATTTGGGAATGTGCAGCTATCAAGAAACTCAGACCAGTAAAAAGGGCATTGTGCCTGAGGGAGATGTTTGGTTTCCCTTTCACATACATGCGCACACTGTGAAGAATTGTTTGAAGAGGTTCTTTTTTGTTAGTGTCCTTGTGTCTTCCTAACAGATTACACTGGACATAAACTCACTTCTAGTACCAGGGGACATAAATGTGTTCATTCCTAAATTCTGTTAGGTGATACTCTATCTCGTTTTGGTTTTGTGCGTAGTAATCCAAGTATTTGATCATATTGGGATCCCTTTCAAAATGTCCTAATGTTGAGGAGGAAAACCTGGTATAACCCAGAGCACTGATTTTCAAGTTAATGTATATGGGATATATTAAAATCAGCTCAATTGCTTTTCCTGAGTTGCCCTTGCCTTTTGCAGTTGAGATTAAATCTTAAATTTAGCCATTGCTGCTAAACAGTGCAGAACATATTGAGTCATGAGGGGAAAGGCCAGACTCTGGTGTAGAATGTAAACTCTGCCATTTTTGCAACTAAAATTTTATTGATTTTTTTTTTATGAGTTTACTCCCTTTTGTCCACTCTGTTCACCTTTGCATGGTGGCCCACCCTTATGCTGTAAATGCACTTTTCTTACTTTTTACTTGGCCAAAACTGACTCTGCAGAGCCTGTTTTATTCCTACCATTAATAAAGCTTTGCTACCATTAAAAAAAAAAAAGAGTTTACTCCCTTTTAAAACAGGGATCCTTTTAAGAAGCTAGGTTGAGAGAAAAGGGTCTGGTTCCTGATATTTTATAATAATTTTACCTAAGCTAATAATTGAATATATTAGTGGGTTATTAGACTGAAATAATGCATTTGAAACTTTTGTTACTCCTCTTTTATTTATTTTGATTAAAGCTAAAAAATCTAGGCATGTAACTTGTTTGCATTTGTAAGACTGCTTGTAGCCAAAACTGTTTGGCATCCCAGTAAAGACATGTGATTGCTAATGTTGTGGACTTCAATATTTGTAGCTAAGGTGGTGCCTCAGCAGATCACACACACTTCTCCAAGGATCCAGCCTGATTATCCTGCAGAGAGGAGTAGCCTGATTCCCATCTCCGGACACCGGGCCTCTCCAAATCCTGTAGCCATGGAAACCCGGAGTGACAACAGGTAGGAGTCAATATACCAGTTTACCCATACCGATATCTTATTAATTAGTTGGGTTTTTCAAGAAAACAAAATGTCCCACAACTATAGCATGTATTTATTTATATTTTTGAATTTTACCCCTGAAAAGGACACATTACATAATATTTGTTTTAGTGTTAGGGAAATGTGAGGGTTTTGGGTGGGGTTGTTTTGTTTTTTTAACTGTATTTACTTACTTATTTTTACTTTTTTTGGTCCAAACATTTATTAACATTAATTCTGTTTATGTATTAAGAATATTATAAATTTAACCCCATTCAAGGATTATGTTTTTTTGTCAGATTTTATTGGTACATTTTATTTTATTTATTTATTTATTTTTGATACCAGGAATCGAACTCAGGACCTTGCACTTGCCAGGCACGCGCTTGTGCCACTGAGCTACATCCCCAGCTCTGTTTGTACATTTTAGATAGGCATAATGATCACATTCATCATAGAGAATTTGCACCTGTACATGATATAACTTACTTTTTCCCCATTCCCTTACTCTCCCTTCAACCCCTCCTCCCTTCCCTATACACAAAAGTTTTATTTCCATTTTTCGTTTTTTTCTCATTTTTTTTTACTTTTCCTTTTCTTTCCCCTTCCTCCCTCTCTTGTTCCCCTCCTCATTTGAACACTGGGAAATGTGTTTTGTTCCTTAAGCTATTCTCCTTTTGATGGGTGTTCTCCTGATCCATTTGATACCATTTTTCTTGAGCCATTTGAAAGTCAGGGTTGAGGCATCATGACCGTTACCTGTAAGTATCTCTGTAATGCCTCAGAGCAGTATGTTCTCTTTCTTGACCACAGTTACAGATATCTGAAGTGATTCTTTTGTCTTCCCATTCTCTTTCATGTTTTGACTTTTTTTTTTGGTACCAGGAATCTAACTTAGGACCTCACACTCAGGCAGGCACTGTGCGTCTGAGCTATATCCCTGACCCGAATTGACATTTTTTAAAGAGTATACTTAGGTGGGTCAGGCATAGTGATGCATGCCTGTAATCCCAGCACTGGAGAGGCTGGATTGTTCTGAGTTCAAGACCATCCTGGCCTACAAAGTGAGCTCAAGACCAGCCTGAACTGCATAGTGAGACCCTGTCTCAAAAAAGGCACCAAAAAAAAAAAAAAAAAGAGTATACTTAGGTCAAACTGGGCGTGGTGGTGCATGTCTATAGTCCTAGGACTCTGGGAGGCTGAAACAGAAGAATTGCAAGTTCCGGCCCAGCCTAGGCAATTTAGCTACTTAGCAAGACCCTGTCTCAAAACAAAAAGGGCTAGCGATTGTAGCTCAATGTGAAGGCCCAGGTCCAGCCCCAGGATTTTTTTTAAAAAGTTACATGTATAACAGTTATTTGGTAAAATATTCTTTAATTTGGTTTTGTCACATGTTTTCTTATGGTTAGATTCAGGTTACACATTTTTGGAAAGATTATCACTTAAGTGACCTCACCGTTATTATATCAGAGAGTTAATATTATCCATTTGTCCCATTATTGATTATATTAATTTTTGAATGAAGGTGATCTCTGCCAGTTTTTTATAAAAGCATATTTTCCTTCTTTGTAAACAAATAATTCATATGGAAATACTTTGAGGCTATAAAAATTCTGTTTTCCAATAAACTTTCACTTGCTTTTAATATTTATTAATGATTCTTGGCTGAATTATTTATTAATATGATAGTTGCAGAACAGTAACTTTTCAAAATTATTTTTTCCACTTTTTTTCTTTTTCTGGTTGAGACAAGATCTCCCTATATAAGTTGAGGTTGGTCTTGAACTGTCTGTATAGCCCAGGCCTGCCTCAAACTAGCTGCATTTCTCCTGCTCATTCTCCTGAGTGCTGGTATTACAGGTGTGCACCGCCACACTTCGCTGATTCTTTCTCATTTTGTAAGTTGGCGTTCTGAAATGAAGAATCCTCTTATCCATATTTTTTTATTTTGAGTATATTTTTAAACATCTTGGGCTTCTGGATTTGGTTTTACTCTATGTAATCTATTACTGTCATCTACTTTGGTGTTCAGCTGGTCTCTAGTATGGCTTTTGGGTGCCCCTTCACACTACTACTCTGGCTTTTACCATGTGCCCTCCAGCCTAGCTCTTCCTTGTTTTCTTTTTTTTGTGGTGGTGGTGGTGGTGGTGGTTTTTTGTTTTGGGGGCAGTTTTTTGTTTTGGGGGAGTTTTTTGTTTTGGGGGAGTTTTTTTGAGATAAGGTCTCGCTCTGTAGTCCAGGCTGATCTTGAAGTCACTTTGTAGCCCAGGCTGACCTTGAACTTGCAGCGATCTTCCTGCCTTGGCGCCCAAGCACTGGTTACAGTTGTATACCACCATGCTCGACTCTTCCTTATTTTCTGCCACAAGATACTTTCAGGTCTTACCAGTACTGGAATCTGTTTTTCCAAGGAACCTTTTCATTGTTTCAAAGCCAACATCTGGGCATTAGCTCTTCTTTTGCTTTGGATTGTTACTTTTCTAGGCCTTTTAGCAGGCAGAGATAGGAAGTAGGTGAGAGTTTTCAAACATTTAAATACATGCTGATAGCTCTAGTTCTACCTCAGTCTTTCCCCCATTCCATATTTGTACATCCTTCTCCCCCAGGGAGAATCCTACATAAAGTTGTTTCAGAATTGGATGATTTTTAAACATTGCTATTTTATTATTATTGCATATAGGAATATTTATTTTTGTATTGATTAGGGGTCCACCACCTTGCTAAACACTCTTTAGCTCTAAAAGTTCATATATTATTTTGGATTTTTTATGCAGACATTTATTTTATCTATAAATAAGGGCAGTGTTTTATAAGTGGGCAAGACAGTTTTCATTTTCTTTTTTATGACCTTGCTTATTCCTTCTTAATGTTGGCAATACGTGTTAATAGAGCTGAGGTGGTAGTCTTCTTGTCTTATTCCTGACTTGAAATAATCTAAAATTCTATTACAGATTTTGTTAGACACTGTTTTGGTTTAAGGAACAAAATTGCTTCCTATTCCTGTTTTCTTGGCATTTATATCATGAATGACACAAATGCTGTCACACATTTTTTAATATCTTTTGTAGCATTTCATGTGATTATTGTATTTGAATTTTTTAAATATATAAAACAGGGGCTGAGGATTTAGCCCAGTGGCAAAGCACCTGCCTGGCAAGCACAAGGTCATGAGTTCAATTCCTGGTACCGGAAGAAAAGACAGACAGAAATAAATAAATAAAAGATATTCTAATAATGAATCGATCCCATCTTCTCATGACAGACCTTATTTGATCATTATGCATTTAATTTTATGAGACATAGTACGTTTTCCTTAGGAATTTTTGTATCACTGTAGAGAGCTAGATCCAGTTTTACATTTTACATATAAATGTAAACGACTTTTTACATTTTATGTGAAATTAATCAGGGGGTATTTCCAGTGGTGGGATTTAATTATCTACCTTGTATTCCCAGTTTCACATACAGCTTAAATGTGAAGCTTTACTCTCTTTGTCTGGTTTTCATGTCAGGACTATGTAAAGCTCAAAAATAAATTAGATCTTATTTCTTTTTGTGGTCTCTGAATCAGTTTGTGTGAGATTGGGATTATCTCTTTTATATGTGTTTGATAAAATTTGCCAGTAAAAACATGCTTTCTTTCAAGTGCAATTGAGCAGAAAATATTTTTTTTTAAAGAGTAGGAAATTTTTTTTTAATTATAATTATAAGAGGAAAATTTATTGGAGAATAGGAAAGGGGAATGGGAATAGCTCCTGAGAGACAGAAGGGATCCCAAGTGGGTTCCCAAAATATTGATTGCTGGATTTTTGTGAGTCATTTTTGCTCATTGTTCTTCTCAAAATGCACCAATAAAATATTACCTATGTAGCTACATTTACTGACCAAGGTATTTTTAAAAACTTATTTTTTAAATGCTTACATTCGCTATATGTTCCTTACACTCTGTATATGTTCCATGATCTAAGAAGTTGGGCCACAATTTGGGAAAAGCTGGTATGCTAGTTATAAAGGGATAGATCTAGGTGAGAGGATCATTTGAAGGTAAAGATGAAAATAACCATTTTGTTTCATATGTTATGTGCTCTATCCCTAGACCATCTGTTCCTGTTCAGTTTCAGTACTTTTTGCCAACTTACCCACCCTCTGCATACCCCCTGGCTGCACACACCTACACCCCAATCACCAGTTCTGTGTCCACTATTCGACAGTACCCAGGTATGAGCACAATTTCAAGATGACTTTTTACATTTTCATTTTTTCAAGCAATGAGAAATAAATCAGGGGTCATTTACAGTACAGGATTTAACTGTTCCACCTTTATTTCCAGGTTCACATAAGGCTTAAATGTGAAGCTTTAGGTCTTTAATTTCATCTTTGTGATCTCTGTAAAGGTTGTTACTTAATAATATTTGCACATTTTATCCCCCCCTCAGGATAATCATGTTATTTCATACCTTAAAATGATAGTGCAGTTACAGTGAATAAAGCTTACTTTCACAAAACTTCTGTTGTTTTGTGGAATACTTGTTACAGTTTTAGTTTTAGTAGAGGTATGTTCATACCTCAGCAACCTGATTGGTTTTTTGATAATCTTCCAGAAAAAAAAAATCTCTAAATCTGAGTTTGTGTGAGCTTTTCTTGTGGGACCCTTGGCTCACATTAGACCTCAGAAACCCTGAGTGTCCAGACTGTAGACCTTGCGCTCCTGATGCATGGTCCTGTGTGGTGACCAGAGCTGCATGTGGAGAGTATTGTTTGAAGACAGGTAGAGTACAAATGAAAAACAGAGCCAGGCCTGGTGGTGCCCACCTGTAATCCCAGCACTCAGGAGCCTGAGGTAGGAGGATCGCCATGAGTTTGAGGCTAGCCTGGGCTACATAGTGAATTCAGGCCAACCTGAATTACAAACTGAGACCTTGTCTCAAAGAGCAAAAAAAGAAAAAAAGAAAAAAGAAATGAAAAACAATGTTTTATTTAACAATGTTTTATTTTATTTAGTTAAAATTAGAGAAGTTTCAAATACGTTTGGAATTTTTTTAATCATACACTTTATGAAATCAAAATATAAGGTAAATTTTTCTGATAAAAATTTAGGATCTGAATTGAGATGTACTTTAAGAGTAAAATGCACTCTAGATTTCTAATATACAGTAAAGAGAATATAAAATATCTTACTAATTTTATATTGTATATATTTTAAAGGTTATATTTTATATATATTGGATTAAATAAAATTTATTAAGATTAATTTGATCTGTTTTTATTTTTTATGAGGCCAATGAAAAATACAGATGATTATTTAATTACAGGTGATTTTATATATCCGGTGGACAATGCTAATCTAAAATTCCAGACTTTGCCAGGTGTGGTGGCACATGCCTATAATCCCAGCATTTGGGAGGGTGAGGATGGAGGATCTCTGTGAGTTCGAGGCCAGCCTGGGCTACAAAGTGAGTTCAAGGCCAGCCTGAACTTCACAGTGAAACCCTGTCTCAAAAGGATGGGTAGGTAGGTGGGTAGGTAGGTAAGTAGGTGGGTGGGCGGTTGGTTGGGTGGGTAAATGGATGGATAGGTGGGTGGGTGGG